CATAGAATGATAGTTTCATATCAAACGAACTGTCACAAGTGAGGCAAAAATCAAATTTATGTAGGCTAGTTTTAGTAGTAGATTAATTTTCGGTTTTAGTGAATATTTATATAAAAATACAAGTTGAAACGCGTTACTTCCTTGTGGAATGTGATGTTAGTATCTATTTTATGTTTGTCTGACGTATTTTTACACTCATTTACCGCACATTTCGTCATTTTTAGCTAAAATTCTTGATCTGTTCGCGGTGCAAGTTGACCTTGAGCACGGAAGGCCCGCCCGCTCGTGTAGGCCCATTGGGCGCGCTTCAATTTGCCTCACTTAGCGTGTGCGGACTAGGTTTCTATGCGTTATTATTCTAAGGTTAGATCATATGGGAGTCCACTCGGATTTTGGTTTAATCGATCCGATCGTGTAGCCCATCGGAATTTCGAAATCAGATGGGTTTCTGAGCGAGAAGATGAACCTCATTCCTACTATATCTTTCTAATTTGTGAGTTAAATCAACTATCGTTCCGATTTGAAATGTCAAAATGTCGGCCAGTTGTGAATCGCAATTATGCGCCTCGACTCGGAAGAGACGCAGTTTCCGATCGGGAGAGGCAATAACAATCAAGCTGCTTAAGCCAGGTTTTCACTATATAAGTGCACTCGGACTGAGTTCATTCGGATCACTAATCGAACGCCGACGTCCACGTCCGAGTGCGCTCGGATCACGTGTTTAACACGTTACGGGTTGATATGGAAAAAAGTGCCTGATATTTCTAAATTTCAGAATTATTGTTGAAATGTTATAACTTTATGCGATTTTATATAAATATAAAGTTAATACTGTGCTCTAGTATATATTATACTTATAACCGATTGAAATATCGCAGGGAGAAGGTAATGAGAACTTCATCGAGGGAAATGACAATAATAAAAAGTAGGGAAAGTTGGTGCGACAGTAATGCGGGTGAATGGAAAGAAATGATAACAAACTTGTTTTATGTACCTTTTAAATGTTTCGTTAAATAATTTCGAAACAATGCTTAAAAATATAAGCGTAACATAACATGATATTAGCTAACTTAACCTTATTAGTGTCAAAAATAAAATAGAAACAATTTAAAAATTTCTTTACCAGTCAATTATACATTTAAAAAATATCGAGTTACAAATTAAAACAAACATAATATTATTACGTATTATGAGATGAAATCTCTAAGTGAAAGTATAAAAATAGAAAGAAAATACAGTTATCCATATTTTTCTCTTCAATATAAAACTGCTTATTTTTCCAATTATTTAGTTAATATCGTATTTTGATTTTTCGTGAGTGTTGCCTGTTTGTAAATTCGTCTGGAAATTAGTTGATGCTGTTGTACTTGAAAATTTTTGTGTCATTTTATATTTCCTCTAGTGTTGTATTCTCATCTCATCCAGAAAACTCAAGAAGTTGTAGTGTATTAATATCTTCATAGGGAGGAATATTAACGTGTCAATATGTTTCGCGTGATTACAAATAGTAACATTATCACAGAGAAAATAAAGTTTCTCAGACTGATTTTTAAGCATCCAAATGTTTGCTTTAGATTGTATAGAACCCAAGAATTTGCAAAACGAATCTACTATAACACCGCTATAAATATGGACAGCTTGATCTGTATGACTCCGTCTTGCGCTCCTTTACCATGTCCACATTCTAAATAATTCCACGTAACAGATTTTACTTGTGGAAAATCGTGATAGTATTGGCTAATCATGAAAAAATAAAGCTATTTCTGTATATCTGCTGCAATTCTAGTAATTTGACTCTATACAGCATTTGCTGAATTGCGTCCTTTTCTTTATTAGTTTTTTTCTAAGTCATTCTTTGGTAATCTTATTAGTTTTTTGTGGCAGGCAAAGTTTTCGAAGAATTGCTTTCGTTGAGACATTGAGTTGGTTCATTGAGAGGGCCTTATTCCAGAGGGAATACTTCAGTATCGCTATTCAGTGGAGAAATGTATACTAAAAGCGTTATAGCATTCTCTTACTTTTTCTTTTCATAATGTCGTTTTTATTTATTCTCCAAATTTCTTTTCGATCGTGCTCTTGTTTCTGTTCTTTTATTTGCTTAGTTTTCTTCGGCATCATTTTTATCTGTCACAGATATCTGCATAAACACACGTTTCAACGCAAATAAATACACCTGTCAATGATTGGTCATTAATATAGTAAAAATAAAATGGTTCCCCTAAAATACATTCTAATTACCATCATTTTGACCTCATTACCGTCATTTAAAATAGCGATGGTAAACGAAGGTAGTGAAGAAGAGGGTAGTGAGGTTTGGGACTGTTTATACTTTTCTCTAAAATGATAAATACATTTTGAGCTCTACGAACATTGTAAATTAGATAAACACTTACTGGTATTGATAATTAACTACATCAGAGAAAATATGAAAAATACTTACTTATAAAAATCGACGAAATGAAAGAGAACGTATTCAAAATAATGCCCTCCCTCGGTGTTTCAAACGAGTATATTTTTGTACTATAAACGAACCTGAGTCCTTCTCGATGTTCTGTGGGTACCTGAAGGATGTGTGCGGGGCGTAGTAGTGGTTTAACAACGTTGAAGGTCATTTACAAACTCTCTCTTAAAGACATTTTCAATGCGCAGGTAATTAGAAAAATAATTTGACAAAAGTTCATTAATGTTATACAATTAAATCACAATACATTACACGTATTCGACATGTGTTTAATGTATTTATTTATAAAGTAAGTATGTTTGTCAGGAAAAGCAGGAAATGGACGCCGAAGGACAGTTTATTCAGGTTTATTTTGTTAACAACGTTTCTGTAACCATAAATACTACATGCATGTAAGCAACATACTCTCATGTCTCGTATATTTTATAAACAATATACATATACTATGAAAAATACGTGAAATTTACATTGGTCGCAGAATATGCACGAAACGGAAGAAACACAAACGTTTAACTTTGCACTTTTTTAAAAGTGTAACGTGGAACGCTTTTTGGTTTGAAGCTTACAAAATTGTGTAGAAAATCGTATAAAGTAAGCCTCTGCGGCTTTATGTTAAAAAAGTTTGCAACATTGTGTTGACAGCGAAATGCGTGAGTAGGATGCTGAGAGTCGCATTCCAGGACTCAATGCTCAAGTCAGGACTTCAGTATGATTTCAAGCACTGGAAATACGACCCTAATGGCAAGGACTTGAGCATTGAGTAGAGTTCTGCAATACGACCATAAATGTTATAGAATAAGTAAGTTTATTTGTAAAACAGTCCTTTTTTGTATATTTTTATTTATAACATTCACGTTGATTAATTAATTTGTTTAGGAAACGTAGATTGCTTGTTGAAACTTAGCAAAACTAGCATAACAAACTAGTGGCAAACTAGGGGATGAATCCGGTTCCGCGCACTTTCCGGCAACCGACCGGCAAACAGATCTAATTTCACGAATTTTTGAGATCGTTTTTTAGTACTCTGTACTGAGTGTATTATAGTCGATTTATTGTAAGAATATACGCCATTTTGAAATTAGATGCCGTAAAACCAATATACAAAGAACTAAGAAACGTAGAAGAAAGTTTGTTTATTTGTAAGTACCTGCTCTGCCAGACATCTTCGAAAAGGACAAGGGCCTCTTTGAGTCGATTCTGCGAATTATCTTCCCTCAGGGTCTGATCAAAATCGCTGCATGCCACAAGAAACCAGATGGCGTTGATGCCTTCGAATACCTGGAATGAACAAAAAAATATTCAACATAGGTACATACGTAGGGTTGTCAGGTCTTAAAACCGAATTAGCCAGTAGATTTGTCAGTTAATCGGACATTTGGATAAAAAGACCATACACCATAAATGTGCTGGTGAATGTGTGTGTAACATGGGATTTGTCAACTACTGTCTCAAGTGACCTGTGTGACGGGCGCACTGGTAGTGCCCCTCAGAGCTTTGCGATTTAAACCGCTGAGTGGCACTGCAGCTGTTATGGGTAGACGTGTAGCTTATTTTCGTAGAAATCGAATCCTAATGTGCATCCATAATAATGGAATCCTCAGGATTGCAAAGTATGTATTGTATGGAGTTGCCTCTATTTCGTCTAAAAAAGATTTTTTACATCGAAATTTATGTGTGTGTAAATATGGAATTATTCCATATTCCATTCATCATAAATGGTACAAACCCGCCGCTTTGAGTTTAAATCCGGGCGGATTGATTGGGTTATAACCCACTGCCCATTTCTGTACACAACTTATGTTACATTTTTTTTATGATACAAATACAAAAATTCTTTATTGTACACCAAAAAAGGAAACAAATGAAATACAGTTAAGTTAAAAATAAGCGGTAATACAATGAGCGGTCTTATCGCTTAAAGCGATTTCTGCCAGACAACCTTTTTATGGATGTAATTCTATAACTCACAGGAAAAAGACGGCGGTGTATGAAGAATTACTAATCAATAGATAGAAAAACGATAAATAAATACAAATATACATATAAATATAAATGTTGAAACCAATACATATATATGAATATCATACACTATTATATGATACCTAATAAAGGGACGAACAAGTCGTCCGCTTGATAGTAAATAATCTCAGTACAGAGTACTAAAAAAACCGACCTCAAAAGTACGTGGTATTACGTCTATTTGCTAAGTTTCATTGAAATATCCCCTAGTTCGCCACTATACAGGACTTGACACTGGAGATAATAAAAATAGGTTCTCACTACGACACTACTTAAAGTACATCGAGGGAAAAACGCCTTGAATTGATGAAATAGCAAAATCAACTAAATAATTGCTAAAAGTAATTGCTCCTAAATTAAAGTTAGGCGCTATTTATAAAAATGAATCCACCCTTCGAGGTGGTTGCTTTTCTTCAAAATGAAATGGGACCACTATGGAAGTACCCCCTTTCCAACAAAAAAAGTATCATGAAAATCGGTTCACAAATACCGGAGTTATCGCGTAACATACATACAAAAAAAACAAACAAACAAAAAAAAGAACATCCAGTCGAATTGAGAACCTCCTCCTTTTTTGAAGTCGGTTAACAACACGCCAACTTATAACACTTACAGTATCACTCAAAGCTTTAAATTGCATGCAATTTAGCAGCAGTAGAGCTCATTGTGAGAGTTCGTCCAGGGAAGTACTGCAACCTTACCTATTTCTGCCGCCAAACAGTAATGTTAGCATTAATGCGTTCAGGTTTTGAAGGGTAAGGGTGTTGGTAAAGTTACAGGCACATGGGACTTGTCAACTTATGTCTCAGGGTGACGGGCGCAGTGGCAGTGCCCCTCAGATCTTTGCGATTTAAAGCGCTGAAAATGTCACTTGCGTGTAACTTACCATCAGGCGCACGGCTTGTTCGTCCCGTCGCGTGATATCATAAAAGAAAATTAAGGAGAGTCACGAGCGGGAAAAACTGTTTTGCTAAATCAAATGGTATTAAGTATTTACTATTAAATAACGTTCTTATGAAAATTATACGATACACCTAAGGTTACACGTTATGGTGTCATAACTCGATCATATAAAATCCCGAAATCGGACTAAAATAAAAATAGGAAATGAAACTATTTTTCCGGATTTAAATCGCGTATATTTGTTTTTTCAAACAAAATTTGCATCAATATTAGACATAACTGGTTGAAGACTGTACCACCTCAGTCAACCGTGACCATGTCGGTTTGTTTGAAAAGACAAATATACGCGATTTAAATCCGGAAAAATAGTTTCATTTCCTATGTGTAACAATCGCGAAAAACCTAAGAACTCGATAAAATAAAAGTGTAAAACGAATTGTTTAAGAATAAAATATCTACTACTTTGCAATTATTTATTTATATCAACGAACTAAATACAACACGTACAGGATATATATTTTTCATATGGCTGTAATTTCGTTTGTAAAGAAACAAAATTCTGAAATAAAGCCAGTGTAGCGCTCGACCTAAGGAAAATGAACCGTATTAGCACGGGGAAAATTTGAATTCAAGCTGGGTATCGTCTCTTGGATTTAGTAACGCGGGAAACCTGACGCTCTGCGCATACTAGCGCCATCTAGAGAAGAAGAGAAGAACTCTTCCTCGAGTTGGAAAAAAATAATGTCGTTTGCAATTGTTCTGCCGCGCGTTTTCGCTGATAATCTTTCGTAGATGGGAACTAAATACTAATTGTGTCCAAATATTAATAAATATCTTCATACTGATGTATATAATTACTTTTACCAATACTGTAAAAGTACATATTAACATATTAACGCTGTCAGTTTTACAACTCTTATAAATAAATGATAGTCCCAAGTCCAAAATGTAAAGTTGACCATTGTGAGGACTGTACGTTTCTATTACTGTACTTAAAAAAAAACAGTACAATGAAATCCACTCCTAAACATTTACCTTGTAATCAATTATCAATTACGAGCAAAACACGAGTATGTGTACTTCTGTATGACTGATTTTCGATGAGTATGAATATTTCGATGAGATTACACACGGTCAGTTTTAATAGAGATAAAAACGCGGTGCAGTCGTTAATCGTCTAACTTTACACGCGCGCGACTTTAAACAGTGATGCAAACACGATATAAACGCGATACACGTTTTAAACTAATTGATTAATTTATTTATTTAATATATTTATTAATTTCAGTTTTAAATTTACAATTAACAATGCAAAATATTGTGCATAAACATACACAGATCTTTCGTGCATAATTATTTAATATAAACGACTGTATCGTAGCAGTCGCACGTTTGTATCAATGCAGTCGCGTGTTTTCATCAATGCAATCGCTAAAAATAAATCGCAAGTGTAGCGATACCTTATTTTGCAAATATCCATATGTTATGCAGAAGAGTGCAATGGAATAATCATTCTTTGAATCCAGTTAAGCAACCTTTCTATAAGCCTATGTAACCGGGCTAATCTGGGGTCGTAACCTGACTAATGACACATAGAGGTGTGACGGTGTGATCTCCTTACACCGTCGTCTCACCTCTTTGTATCGCCTCTCTCCGCTTGTATCCTATCATTTTTTATTTTCCATGTATTTAAATTTTAAATTTGAATTGTTCCATCTTCCTTCACTTTCTCATTTTGTTTTCGTACCACGGTCACTCCCAGCTCGACCGCCACAACAGTCGGAGCTGTTCCAAATTCCATCGCGAATAATCGCTAATTCTGGTTCTTTACTACGTTTGTAATCATTTAATAAGCTAAATCATGTGTAATAATTTATAAGCCTACAGCCTTCGTGTACCTAAATCTGTAATTCAGTTTCTCGGCCCATTTAGATCCCTTTCTTCACGGCTAGTTAGGGTTACAACCCTTTCAGCACTATGACAAAAAATAGAGAGATATGGGCTTAGCACAGTACCTGTATCCATTTCTTCCTTTCCCCCCGCTGCCCGCCAACATCGAACATCCAAAAATCTTGTACACCGCCTTGCATAGATTTTGGCAACTGTTAACAAATTACAGAAGCTTGCATATCGGAGACCATAAAAATTAAATTGAAAACACAATACAAAAAACATCCAGCCTCTGAAGTTTTATTGAAATCGGTTACCGGAAAGTGCGCGGTGCGGGTTCATCCCCTAGTTTGCCATCCTTAGAGGTGGATATTTTCTTCAAATTTAACCGGTCCCGCCGTTACAGAGGTACCCTCTTTCCAACAATAAAAGAATCATCAAAATGGGTTCATAAATGAGAATCGCGTAATATACTTACAAAAAAAATACAGTCGATTTAAGAACGTCCTCCCTTTGTGTCGATTCACAAAATCAGAACAAAACATTAAATATTTTGTTGTGTGTTCTATTCAACGTAGTTTTTGTTTTTGTTCATCGTCTTCAAAAAAGGAGACTTTATTTATTACAATAGAATTTATAAGAATTCGACTGCATTTTTTCGTGAACCGATTTCGATGTTCTTTTTTGTGTTAGACAGGGATTACCTTAGTAGTTGTCCCATACAAATTTGAAGAAGATATTCCACCTTTATGGGTGGCAAACTAATAAGTCCGGTTTTTGAATTTCACCCACGACGTTCCGTTAACCGATTTCAATCAAACTTGTCACACAGATGTGATCCAAAAACAGTAAAATGTTATGAGAGCTGATTCATGGTAAGCGACACGCCTATCCATAACAGTTGCATTGCCACTCGGAGTTTTAAAGATAAAGATCTGGGGGCGCGTTCCCATGCTGTCGTAGCGTTTTATTTATCGTCGGACAACTGTCGCGTCTAGCCTGTTCCTATATCACGACTATCTGTCGTGACTGTGTGTGTTGTGGACGTTTAATTTATCGTTAAACGACTATTGTGTCTAGCTAGTGTTCCCACTAGATCGTGACAACAATTTGTCGGCTTTGTCGTTTGCACGACAGAATTATCTGTCGTCACATTCTTATAGTGACATTTTATTTATCGTCTGTCGACCGTCGTTCTAGCTCTTCCCCTTGTCAAGACAGTCTGTTGTCGTAACGTCAAAAATGTCGTGAACGACAGTTAATCGTGTTGTACTATATGTGAACTACTTCATTTAAATATATAAGCCATGACACTTTAAGCTGAACGATTGTCTGTCATAACCTTAGAGGATGGAACTAAAGATGCCTGCCACTTCGCCCGTCACACTGAGGCATAAGTTGACAAGTCCCATGTGCCTGTAATTTCACCAGCACCCTTCAAATCCGGAACACAGTAATGCACACATTACTGCTTGACGGTAGAAATAGGTAAGATGGCAGTACTTCCCTGGACGCACTCTGTCAGAAGGTGCTCTAGTGCTACAAGATTCAGCCCACATCGAAGAATGGGATGAGTGACAAAAAAATATAACTCACACCCACTCCAATTCTTGTAACTCTACCTGAGCTATAGACATGTTTGTGTAACTCCTCCTATGCCATTCTTCCATGAGGGGTACGTTCATTCAGTGAACATAGCGGAGCTACCCTTTCAAGGCCGGTTTTTTTAATACAAAAGTTATAATTATTTTTCTTCAGGTTGTACTTTTTTTGCTAATTGTGGTATATTGTAAGTTGATCTATATCATTACTTCACTATTTCAATATAGAAAGAATTTACCTTAACTTTGAACTCAATCTTCTGTATGCCCGTAGTCTTTTGTCGACATCTCAAAATGTCCGCATCAGATGGCATGTAGTCTGGTTTCTCTATTAGATCTATTCTATCCAGGAAACTGTTAATTAAGAATATTATATTGAGATTTTTTGTTAAATAACTCCAATAGTTTTGTTATTATTAATACGAAGATCGAACACAGAAACATTTCTTCGACCCGGTGGTACCAAGTCAAATTACCGAGCTGTCGAAATTATCCTGTGTTTTTTTTTATTATAATATCAAGTGACGGGACGGACAAGTCGTACGCCTGTAGGTAAGCTACACGCCTGTCCATAACAGTTGCAGTGCCACTCAGAGCTTTAAATCGCAATGATCTGAGAGGCACTACCACTTTCATAAGCAGCTCTACTGCTACTAAAAACTATTACGTAGCGTAGATTAGAATGCACTTTGAGAAAAATGTTAAAATAAGGTATTTAATTATTATTACTTTCGAGTTCTTAGGTTTTCGCGATTGTTACACATAGGAGGTGAAACTATTTTTCCGGATTTAAATCGCGTATATTTGTTTTTTCAAACATGTCATGTCAACCGTGACCATGGGACCTGTAAAGGGCCCGAAACGTCGGTTTGTTTGAAAAAACAAATATACGCGATTTAAATCCGGAAAAATAGTTTCATTTCCTATTATAATTTTTGTAATTATATTTCAAAACAGGGTGGTTTGCATTAATGTTAGACTTAACTGATTGATGAGTTTACCTTCACAGTTACCCGTGATTGTTTCAAAAAACAAATGTACGCGATTTAAATTCGGAAAAATAGTTTCATTTCGTAACTCCACTAATTTTGTGAAACAATCCACGACCATGCTGCACCGTAGCATTGCTCTTACCTACCAACTGAGCCACAGATTAAGTTACCGAGCTATCGAAATTCCCCTACGTGTTTTTGTTATAGATCTCTGTACAGGCTTTAAGCAGTGACATCTAGTGAGAGATTTTTGAAAAACTTTCTCACCTGATAACTACTCAGTTGGTAAGAGCATGCTACGGTGCAGCATGGTCGTGTATTCCAGTACCAACGGGTTGAAGAAATTTTTCCATGTGCTCCATCTTTGTGTAATCCTGTTAGGATTTGGCAACACAGTACATTTACTCAAATATTTTATATGCCCGTAAAAATATACATAATTTCAATAAGAAAGAAGATATCCATAATATTAACCTTAGAGCTAAGTCCAAACTCATGGTACCACGATTTCGTTTAACCAAGGTAAACAACTCTTTTATGGGGAACTGTATACGTTTTTACAATAAGATTCCGGAGCATATATTAAGTTTATCATTTCCTAAGTTTAGAAACTACATTAAAAATATTTTGATCGAAAAATCATATTACAAAATTGAAGACTACGTGTTAGATAAAGATGTATGGAAAGACGACATGGCTCCAGAATCCACACAAATTTCATTCAAAGTGTATTCCATAGCATTTAAGTTTATTTGAAAAGAGCAATCCCTAGAGTTTCTTGCTCGTTCTTCTCAGGGAGGTCAGCGTAGTGAACGAGCAGTAGCTTAAATGTGACGTTTTCAAGTGTAAATTTATTTTACCTATGGAATAAATAATCTTTGACTTTGACAATATTATATTGTTTTTAATCAATAAAACTTATTCTAAATCGAATAATTTTTCTATTTGCTAATCGAAAATCAACAGTTTTATTGTAACGAACTTACTATTCGGCGCTGTCAATTAGTTGATATTCGTTGGAACGCTTAAAACATTCCCTTACTCCACTATCACGCCACAGATTTCGTACGTGGTCGAAATAAGCCTGCAAATAGAATGCATTGTCAATTGATATTACTTGCAATCGGCTAAAAGACAATCAACAACAATCGCTTTATTTAACATCTGACGACTGTCGTTCTAGCATGTCTATGTATGTCACGACAGTCTGTCGTCGTAACGTCAAAAAAGTCGTGAACGACAGCTGTATCACGCGCGATATAGTGACTGTATAAGAGTTGCCAATCTTTAAGGAGTACCTCGTTATATTCTGGAGGTCCGTTTGGTCCGCACCGTAGAATTATTTGTTGTGCCTGAACGTTTTTGATGTTCTGCAAACCAATGCTCAGGGTGGACATATGTCGTACTATGTCGTAGATCGATTCGTGTATATTATGGCGGATGTATTGGATTTTTTCTTGGCGTTCACTGGAAAAAATTATAAAACCATAAATTTAAATCAATATAACAAAGATATGTCAGATAAACTAACAAATCACTGACCATAACGGTCTAGTGATGGCCACTTGTAATGCCAACTACATATCAATTAATTAATTGAATGAATGGATTTGTTAAATTGAGTCTTCTAACCGGTTTTCCTTATTTAGCCTGTATGGGCATATTTAAAATTTCCGAAATCTTAATTTATTATTAATAAGCAACCACAGACAGGTCATGGATGTATAGATGAAAATAACATCACTTTTGGACTACCATTTTTCATATACAATTTTGCAATGCTGTTCGGATGAATGTTGTTGGAGATAATGGTGAGATATCAAGTCGAGGGCTTCGAAATATACGTGAATGTCTTGCTTGTTCGATTTATTGAGTGATTGCTTTAGAATTTTAACCAAACACTCTTGTTTGCTGTTCGTTCGGAGTGGATTGGAACAGACTTTACATCCTTTCTAGAATTGGTTACCTACCAGACAGGCTTTGCCTAGTGTAGGAGCCAGTGTAACCGGTTTAGATAAAGTTTAAAAGTACATGTCTTAAACATACGTATTCCATAAGGTGTAATATGTTCCTGTTCCTGTTATCGGTAACTGAACTGTATTTATTTTTACGTACAAATAAATAAATTACTAAATGTCAAGAAGGCAACTTTTCCAGCAAGCAGGTGGAAAAGTTGACTGATTGCCAGTTAGAATACTCGTTTAAATAAATCTAAGTTAAACAGCTTACCTCGCCGAAAATCCTTGTATGTGAAGAATCTTCATTTGTTTTATAATAGTAGTTTTGCCACTCTCGCCCGTGCCCAATAAAAGTAGTTTTATTGCCTGTGAAAAGAGCAGCAAATAGGTATTTCAATTCAAAGATAACAGGTTATAGTCCTGTCAGAGTTGCCAGTTGTTTAGGGTACTACTGTAGTAATTTTGTGTATAAATTTTGAGCTATCACGAGTCCAACGATGCCGGTTCGTTCTGCTCGTCGCACTATACCCTTCTTGTGTCTTTACTCCGATACTTTACGTAGGCGCTTATCAATTAGTTTTCAAATTAATTACATTTTTATTATTTACGTATTCGGTATGTTATAGTGAAATATTATAAAATATTTCAGGACAACGATAGTACTACAAACACCCAGACCCAAGATAATATAGAAAAGTTGGTTTTTTTAGACTGACCCGGTCGGGAACGGAACCCGAGACCTCAAAGGTGGCTACACCATTAAAACCAGTGTGTACGCCACTCGACCATAGAGGTTATCAATAAATTAAGTAAATACCACAAAATTATGTGTTTTACGATCAAATTTTTTTTTAGTTGGCATTATTTAGTGTTTTAATGTATTTGGAGACAACTTCATACAAATTTATTATTATTATTAATAATAATAATATTATAGTAACGCACACACTCATAGGTCCCGAACTAGGGAAACTATATCCCGGGAATCGAACCTGCATCCTGATTTTGATTCAAATCGGAAGATAAACCTGATTCCTACTAGGTATATCTTTCTAATTTGTGAGTTAAATCAACTATTGTTGCGATTAGAAATGTCAAAAGTTTCCGATCGGCCAGTTGTGAAAAGACGCAGTTTCAAAATGAAGCTGCTAGAACCTCTGCGTGACAGTCCGGCAAGGTAACCGTTCGGCCACGGAATCAGTTTACATACTTAATAGTTACAAGTACTTTATTTTCAAAACACTCTATTGTAATATCGTAATTTTGCAGATAACCAGTTACTCTTTGCTGTCATCGCATTATTTTCCCCAGATCCCGTTACCTGATCGTAGACCTTAAACCACTGTTTGATCTCTCTATCGATCTGTTTGGAATTATCTTCGTCTTCATCATATGCCTTCATGCACGGTATAAAACCCATTTTGCCGCACACTGTATGTCAGCTGAAATAAATATACAGCCTATAAATAAAATATTATTTCCACTTTACGCAATCAGCGGGGTGAGAATGCAAGACAAAACTGAGGGCGAATGTCTGGTAGTAGGTAGGTATACCTATAATAAAGCCCTCACATTGAAAGTCATAAAAATAAGGGATAATGTTATTTAATCCTCAAAGATATTATAATTGATCTATTGTACGTGTGCACATTTTTAATTAATATACGATATTTTTTAATATGTCGCTTATAATTTACCCGTAAATCAGTAAATTACAAACGAACTGCATTCAAGGTAACACCATGTTTAAGCATAGTAAATTAATATTTGATAGTCAAAAATAATATTTGATTCTCTTTGTCGTATAGTTCAAATCCTCGGGATCGAACCGATCGGGTAGTCCATCCGCAATATTATACGCCTCGACTCGGAAAAAACGCAGTTTCCGATCGGGAGAGGCAATCAAGCTGCAGATGGGTTTCCGGGCGAGCAGATGAACCTGATTCCTACTATATTTTTCTAATTTGTGAGTTAAATCAACTGTTGTTCCGATTTGAAATGTTAAAAGTTTCCAATCGGCCAGTTGAGAATCGCAATTATGCGCCTCGACTCGGAAGAGACGCAGTTTCCGATCGGGAAAACTGCTGAAGTATTATAAACGCGCGATTGCATCGCTACACTTGCGATTCATATAGGCTAATGCATGGATGCAAACGCGCGATTGCATCGCTGTTTAAAATCGCCGTGTGTAACGGCTCTTATATTGCTTGATTTTTCTAAGTTACGGCTACGGTTAATAATTTGCTTCCATCTTTTTGTTTAATATATAAGATTATTGGCTTCCATTCTCTTTCACGACAATGTTAATAGTCTTAATTGACTTAATTCATGAATTTATAATGCTGTCATTTCGTCCGTATGCGCGATAACGTGTCGATAGGCAAATACGCCGGATATATTGTAATTTTTATCTGATTAAACAGGTGTTTATAACATATGCCGTTGTTACTGCACATGCAGTGTAATGCGTAGCTACATAATATGAACTAAATTATATGCATCTAAATTACCTTTGAATAGTAGTAAATTCTAAATTTCAGTAAAAAAGAATTTACTAGTTAGAGCTCGCCGCCGCCCTCATTGCTTTATGTATTTTGATTTATGTGTCTGGATTTTATTGTTTTCTTGAGGTATTGTTTTTCTTCTAATGCGGCCGACATGTTCAATAATAACGATCATTTAATAATAATATTAGGTATAAGGAAAAAACAACTGACTTCTTATATTTCATATTAAGGTGCATCCACACCGCAGTTACCTATTGTGGAGAAACACTGTGAAGCACAGCTACATTAGGTAACTATCTGTAACTTTTGTGGCTACTTGTTGAATGTTACTCATCGCGTCCATACAGCCAATAACAGAAATTAACAAAATATGACAAAGAGTAACTTTCTGCAACAAGCGAGTTACACGGCATATGTTCTCAAACTTCGGCAAGTAACGGACGTGTCTCATTTGTGTCGGCATGGAAGATGATAAACTGATTATAGCAACAGCATGTTTTCTCAATTTAAATAACAAGAAAAAACGACGCGATGGGCATGGCCCCCCTCTGCACCCACCACGCTACGCCACTGTATTTTACCGGAAAATACGGAGTCTCTACCACTACAATTTTTTTTATAATAACTAAGTGACGGGACAAGTCGTGCCCCTGATGGTAAGCGACACGCCTGTCCATAACAGTTACTGTGTCACTCAGAGCTTTAAATCGCAAAGATCTGAGGGGCACTCGTGTCGTGTCGCAGTCGTGTCTTCCGGAAACTTCTAACGCATTGTCGGGAATTCCCGCAGCTGCCGTATCGTACAGTGCCGGCTTTAAACGACTTTACACTACCCGATTTCTATGGCCCTCAGTCGAGGTTGGGCGTGGCAACTTGTTTGCGAGCCGCACACTTCTTTTCTTTAAAATACTTCTGTATTCAAGACCATGTTATAATTATTTTTCGACGTAGCTGTACCTGTACATATATAAGAAATCATAGCGATCTTTGAAACAGAACCATTTTATGCTAAAATTTTAATTCGCGTCCGATTAATAAAACAAGATTTTTCTAAGTGAAATTGGATCTAATCTAAGCTACGTTTTGTGGTTCTCGGGGTTGAATAATGAATGATGGACAATAAAACACACTTTAAAATTTGAGTGTAAAGCGAGAAAAAAAAAGGTAGATGGAAAAAAATAAAGTTTTTACGAATACATTTTTAGTCTGAAATATATTTATTACCTTTTTGAGTTTCTAAATTAATTGTTGTCTTAAATATGGTTTCCTTGCCAATACTCAATAAATACTTAAACAAAAATATATTTAGGATTATAATTAATTTTTATTTATAAAAAAAAACCGTCGTCAAAAGTTTGCCGGACAGAATCCAATGGACACACACAGTGAAAACGTTTTCGCTGTGCTTTATTTTCATTGGATTTATATCTACGTGCTAAGTTTCATTGAAATTGGTTAACGAAAAGCGAGTGAAAATCAACAAACCGAATTCAACGCTGAGAGGTGGTATTTTCTTCAAACTTGAATGGGACCTTAAAAATTACAATAAAAAAAAAATCGAAATGTAGACCCCTTCTACGTAAAGTATCGTATGTCGAAATTGCCAACTTTACAGGGGAGCGTTTTAAAGTTCTGAATTACTCGTTACTCACATAGAGATATCATCATCATAGATCATCTAACCTCTAATATCATCTAGAATTTTATAGTACTCTTGTGAGTAACGAGTTTTGCCAAATAAAACTGAGAAATGCTAAAGTCACGTGTAATGGTTATTTCAGTGACGCTCCCCTGTAAACTTGGCAATTTCGAGATA